GCCCAGCCTGGGCGGGCTGCCTGCCTGAACACTCACGTCGGATCCGTATCTGGACAGGGCGGCGTTGGCCAGCTGCCGGATCTTCTCCCGGTACATCTGCGCCGCCCGGCTGTTGTACTTGGCGTTGGTGTCGCTGGTGGAGCAGCCATGCTGGCGGAAGAAGGCCGTCTGCGGACAGGGGAGTGGGAGGGTGGGGGGGGAGCTGGCTCAGCCGTGCCCGCTCAGGGCCCCGACAGGGCTCCCCTCCGGGGGACTCACCGCGTTGGCGTTTCCTCCGACCTGCATGCACCGGAGCTGGAACCAGTTCCAGTTGGAGTCCAACTCGGTGGACCTGGAGGGAGGACAGAGCAGGGTCAGGGTCAGGGTCAGGGTTAGGGTCAGCGTCCCAGCTTCGGTTCGCAGAACACTGGGTCTAAAAAGCCTCAGAACTGGGAAACAGGCGCTTCCTCCACACTGCTCACAGGTCAGGGATTCGGCCTTTTACCGTTTTTGTATCACAGGAAGACATTTGTCCTTTGACCAGACATAATTAGAGTTTCCCTCAGACCAGGAATGTCATTAGCAGGATTAACAGATATATAAATTGTATATTTTACAATTTATATATCTGTTTAATATGTGTAAATATTGCTAATTGTTGCGTTAAATAAATGTAAAAATTGCACATTGTGGGGTAAAAACTGTAAATATTGCATATTGTAGGGTATAAAAATGTAAATATTCCACATTGTTGGGGAAAAAAACTAAATATTGCACATTGTTTTATATTTTATATATATTTTTCTATGACATTGATGTCATGTTGGAGATTTACTTCGGGTCTCGAGTCGAATATTTGATCAAATTTCACTTCAGATGTTGGAAAATTCGTACGCTTAGGCCGTCGTGGGTAGCGGCTCTGCTGGATTAGCGGGGCTCACCTGATGAAGCTGAGATGCACCCCCAGCGAGCGGTGGATGCCGGAGCAGTCGATGCACAGGAACACGCCGTAAGGGATGCTGGCCCAGCTCGGGTTCTTGGCAGCACAGTCGAAACAAGCCTGCACAGAAACGGACCTGAATCTGGCTGCCTTTAACAGGTCGGGGGGGGGGGGTTCACAGCCCCACCAGTGTGACTGAAAGTCCTTCCTCTGGTGTGCTTTCACATTTTATGCTTCCTTATACTACAATAAACATGTAACGACGAAAAATGAGAGGTTAAACATCAGAAAAGTACAGCAAAGGCAGTAAAAACAAACTATTTTTTGTCAGCGGATTTTGCCATCTAACTGAAAGCTCCTTATAAAGAAATACACGTTCCTGCTGTAGATCACATGAAATTACATAAGGTTAGTGGTCCTTTAAAACACTGGAAAGAAAAGAAGAGATTTTTTATCAAACCGAGTTGTTACAATGTTTAAAAACGTTTCTGAAAATATTTGACTGCAAACTGAATATGTGGAAATTCCTGTCTGATGGTTAAACACATAAAAACCTCTAAAGCTAATTGCCAGGCAGAGTTTGAGATAACAGACAAAGTTGGACCAAAGATAAAAGCACCGAGGCGTCACGTCGCTGTGTTTTTCAGACCGAAGGTTAAGAAATGTCTCAACAAATTCACATGTTCTCTTTTTATATCGAGTGACATTAAGAAACAAATCGGAAAACCACGAAGACTATAAATTATTATTGTATGATTCTAGATAAATGTCCTCATCACGCCTTTTCAATACATTTTTTTAATGAGAAACTTGGACACAACGTTGGCTCAGCCCTTGAGTTAGGGGCTGACTCAAGTGGCTAAAAAAATATTAAAACTGGACTAGAAATTAATGAAAAGGTAGAAAATGTCCTTACAAAAACCCGAAAGAGCTCAGAATTCCTGGATCAGTGTCACTTAAGAACACTTTAAAGGACATCTGGCTGCTTTGGGGGAATATATGAAGAAATTAAAGGTGGATGAAGACTTTTTAAACTAATCCTTATCCTTCTAATCTTGTGTTTAAACTGCTGCTTTGCTGAGCTGGACACAACGTTGGCTGGCTCAGTCATTCAGGCTTTTTCCAGCCTCATAAATAAATTAAATGGCTTCATTGAGAAAAAAGACATTCTGGGCTGCAAATGAGAGAAAATAAACAGCTGAATATTTGCCCAAAAAATGGCTAAATGGGAGAAAAATAATAAGAAAAATAGGGCCATGATTATTGCTTTAACTTACTGATATAAAGATGCGTTTAATATGTTTATATTTGAGGTAAAATAGTATGACATGCCTTCCTTTAAACCAGCTTGGTTAAATGTGTTAAATTAATGCTGACTATGTGGTTTTCAGAGGTAACAGAACCGTGACAAGTCACCTGTAGACGTACGTCAGCTCTTGCTAACACAAGCTAACAATCAGTGGATCAACACAGCTAAATGTGTCTATCTGAACTATCTCCGCTTTGCGGGCCGTTTTTGGGGCCCAACTTGAAAACAAGAGCGATTCAGCTTGAATTCCCCGTGAGGGACGTGGCCAACAGGTTAGCGTCCACGGCGAACACGAACCGTGTACGTGGCCTTTATGTGCCACGGCTGTACCGGCGGCTAGCGGCCGTTAGCCCGGGCTAGCTAATTGGCCGCGTAGCCAGGCCGAGGCCGGAGCCAAACCCAGCCGAACCCACCCGAACCGAAGCGGGGAGAACCGGCTCATAGGACGCCACAGAAACAGAAGCAGTGTCACAACGAGTTACCTTGTTTGTGGGAATAGACCTTAGCCTTTTGAAAATAGTAAGGATTTCGGTCTTATTTGGTTCCGTAGCCATCTTGCCTCTCTGTCGATTTCCATGAGCTGACGTCACTACGGCAAGTCGTCGGAGCCGGATCTAACAAAAGCGAAAGTTTTATTTATCGAACGCTACAAATCTCAGTTTCTCGTCTTTCTTGGTTAATTAAGTCTTGTAAATGAGACAGTTTGAGCCTCGAATTACCAAAAAGCTAACAATTAGGAAGATTGTTGTTATTATCCAAAACTGATGGAAAGATTCAGCCGCAGTTAAAGATGTAACAACATTTTTTCCCTAACATTCAAATGGTTACAAAAATTAATTTCTGAGGCACGAACATTAAAAAAGGATAAGCTGCTTTTGATTTGGTATTTTTTCATTTCCACACGTTTAATCTATATATTTGATAAATACATTATTTACTGTAAGCATAAAACCATTGGAAGGTAATGTTGAGCTGGAACATTTTAGAAGATGATTCATGACCGGAACTGACCCAGAAAATAAAAAATTATTCCTGAAAATGGCCCTGCAAATGAGTGGGAAACCCAGGTGTACCTGTCCAGAAACGATACACATTTGTGTTGAAAGTGAAAACAAAACAAAACCTTAAAACAACACTGTGCACAGATACAAAAAGATTCTAGTCTGAGATTAAACCTCCAAGGAGACATTTAAAGTGAGAGCCTCTGTTTTTTCTAGGATTTTATGAATACACCAGGACCTTAAATTGCTTCAGAGAATGATGCCATTGCGGCTGTGCTAAAGTAAAACTGACTTTATTCTGTTCATTAGTTTATTTGGGCATTTTATTAAGTCTTTGGAACATACAGTATCTGGTTGAGTTAGCTCTGTTTATTTTTGTACAATGGCTTCTCAGCTTTGCTGGAACGGTTCCTCTGGTTCTGTCTGGTGTGGCGCTGGACCTGGTTCCTCCGGGGTCCAGCTGGGCGGCTGAAACCGAGAGGAGCCTGCCAGAAAGTCTGTCCCCAGATTCCATTTTTTCCACAAGTGCAACCTAAACCAGAGAGCGTGTTTGAAAATGTTAATGGCGTAAGATGCGTCAGTCAGTCCAGATCTGGTTTAACCTGTTGAAGTAATTCAGAGGGAACCGCCTCCTGCATCGGAGCCTAAAAGCGACTGCACGACATTCGAGACAAACACATCAGGAGAAGCATCATGGAGGCAGGAGCGGCTCTTCTTCTTCTTCTGGCTCTGCTGGGCTCGGGCTCGGCCGACTTCTATGGGGACAGCATCAGTTTAATGGCCCCACAGTGGACAGCAGATGAAGCACTCAAGGTACAGTGACCCAGTCCTCCTCTTCTCTGCCTTAGACGTCCAGATCCATTCCAGATTTATCAAACTGGTTGAGAAACCGGTGGATTCCTGAAAATTTAACCCTTGAACACTTTTTTCACGAACTTTTCTCAACTTAAAACCTTCTCATTTCCGGTCCTGAGCACTTAAAAGTCTGGTTGAAAACATAAAAAAATTATGGTTTTGGAGATTATTTTGACCTGTCCCAGAAAAATTGACCTGTGTCTGGCTGTAAACACAAAAAATGCTGGTTTTGCTGCACATTTAAGCCGCCGTTGTTTTCCTGACCTTGCAGTTGACCGTCCACCACCGGCTCAACGGCCGGGGCGACTGTCAGAACCAGAGCCAGCTGCTGTCCTGCGAGGGGGGGGCCTGCCGGCCGCTCGACCAGTCGGCCGCCCAGGAAACGGACAGAGACGGCGCCGGCCAGAGCAGGTGGTGCCAGTCTGAGGGACGCAGCACAGCCACGGTGCCGGCCAACAGCACCAGGCTCAGCCTGAGGTGGGTCCAGGGGGAGGGCAGTCGGCCGGCCGGTCTCGGGTCCAGTGGCTCGTCCTCTGGGCGCCCACACATAATCCATCACCATTTGTTTTCTAAGGCAGATTTAAGACCAGGCCAGAAAAAGCTAAAGCTAGAGAAGTAAAACGGAGGAACTGAAGATCTAGACTAAAACTCCTGAGCATAGAATGAATTCTCTGAAAGCAGAGAGACCAAACATGGGGCTCAAACCCAGAGGAGGGTTCTGACTCAAAGAAGGAGACAATCAGCTCAAGGAAAGACGAGTGGAGCTGGGAATTAAAACAACCCAAAGCCAACAGACAGCACACAACAGCCCCCAAAGCAAAAGACCAGCCATTATGACAAGACCCGAACCCATAGCCCATCAGAAAAAGTCAGATTCTGGTTGCCAGAACCTTTAGAAGAGTGAACCTTAGGCTTTTATCTACCAGACACATCAGGAAGGTTGTTCTGAATGTTCCAACTTCTGGAAAATGTTCTGTTTCCGCTGTAAAAGGGTCAGAATTTCTCCATTAACTCATCAGAATTTGCCTTCTTCTTATATTGAATGAACACTTCTGTTCAAGTTTGATGAAAAGTGGGATTCGCTTTTTATCTTTGGAAGCTTTTTTCTAAACCAAATCAAAGAAACCGTGATTTAAGTCAAATGGGTGTTTTTTAAAGTGCATGAGTGGTTTCTTCTGGAAAAAGATTTCTGCTCTTAGAGGGTAATTATGATGAGCTCATTTCTGACTCGGACAGGCGGCATTAAATGTGACTTTACTGCTGATTAGAGGGGATTTGGAGTGATTTTAATCAGCAAAATACCAACTTTCTGCGCTGTTTTTACAATTCAAACAAGTTAATAATGACTCATTTAGTTATTTTTCTGCTTCAGACTGAAAACAGAGGTTTCTGATTTTGTGTCAGCAAATGGAAAACTTTAATTTCTCACACTGAAAGTTACCAAAGAGCATGACGACTAACAGAAATCGTTGGGAATCCGATGATTTCACATCGGCAGACAGAGAGTTTTTAAACCTGTTTGTGTTCTTTAAAGAAAGACAGAATAACAATTACAGCATAGCTGCTATCCAGCTTTACATTCAGGTTATGAATGCAGAGGAATGAGGCAGAAATGGGGATTCGGCCTCTCCCTCTTTTGTAAAAGTGACAGAAATCAGATAGCAGAGCCCCGGCTGAGAGTTTTCCTGATTTATACCAGAATCTGGTTGGAGAACAGTCCTGATAAGGGTGGAGTCCTGCCAGAGGGGGGGGGGGGGGGGGCAGCACATTAATTCTGGAGCCTGAGACGATGGGGCACCGGCTGAGGCCGGAAAAGGAAGGTTTTCCTTTTCATTCTGAGAACTATTTTAAAATATTTTTGCATTTAATCCACTAAGTAACTGCTAAGAAATAAGTTAGTAGTTATTATGTAATAATAAATAAACAAATAAACAAACAAACAAATAAAAAATAAACAAATAAAAAAATAAACAAATAAATAAATAAATAAATAAATAACCAAATAAAAAAATAACCAAATAAATAATTAATAAAAAATAAATAAAAAATAAACAAATAAATGAATAAATAAATAAATAAATAAATAAATAAATAAATAAATAAATAAATAAATAAATAAATAAATAAATAAATAAACAAATAAATAAATAAATAACCCTAACTGATCAGCTTTGGGAGGCCGTTTGGCACGCCGTCACACTCTGCTGAACCCGGAGAACGCAGCAGCTATTGTGTTTAGGTGGGAGCGTTTTTTTAATGGCCTCAGTGAAAGCAAAAGAAGAAAGACCGAACAAAGCCAGAGGACAAAAGCAGTGCTAAAGTTCATGCCGTTTCCTCCCTCGTGTTTTCAATGTCAGCCAGCTGTCAGGATTCCTCAGAAACTTTAATTGGTTTTCCCTCCACAACCAACCTCAAGACAATAATAGAGTTGGCAAATATACATTAATTAAAACAAATTGATTTATTCAAATAAAACTAAAAAAAATAATTAAATAAACATGAGTAATAAATGTTGTTTTTTATTATGAAAACTATTTTCAATTAAGTAGAAAATAGTCTAATATTTTTCCAATTTATCAACTAACTAACTAACTAACTAACTAACTAACTAACTAACTAACTAACTAGATAGGTAAATAAATAAATACATAAATAAATAAATAAGTTTGTAAACGATTATTTTATAAATAAATAGATGAAAGATATATAATTTTCCTACAAATTATTTCCCAGGAATTCTGGTTTTATTCAAGGTGTGTTGACGTGTCTTTGCACCACACTGATAAACAAACAAAAAAACAAACAACAAACAGCCGCCGGACGGGCGGGTTTCTGGGTCCCTGGTGGGGTCAGAACCGGACCATATCAGGACTCTGCCCCTCTGTCCGCAGCGGCTCGGGCTGCTGCTGGACCTCCAACGCCCAGGCACGGACCAACTGGACCAGCCACGCGGAGCTGGACCTGCGCACGCGCTCCGACACGCGCTCCGTCGACCGGTGCCCCGTGACCACCAGCGTCTCCTCTCTCCGGTACGGAGCCGCC